ATCAAGGCGTTTTGAACTAGATTCCCTCTATCGAATGAGGTTCTCAATCGATACAAAGCATTGAATCAACCCTCGACTAAAGCAACCGATCCAATACTATCAATCTATGGTGCTCTATTAACCTAATAAGGTATTCGCTCTCATAGGATCAAAGCAGAATCAATAATCTCAACTAAAGCAGAATTGAATCAAGAAAACATGCATAGATTGAATATGAACTCAAGATTATCAAGTAAAAGTATGGGTAATTAGCATAAATGGTCACAAACCTTTGCACTTAGTACAAAACCGTCACAAACCTTTAATTTGTAACCATTTGATAACAAAACTTTTTACTTTGAACAAAACGGTCACAAATTAAACAGTGTGACCATTTCATACCAGTTCAAACTTTTGTTACCGTGTCGTTGCAAATTAGACTTTTGGTGACCGTTTTGTACAAATTAAGTTCAAAAGTTTGAACGCTCAATCACCGTTACAATTCGCTCTAGTTGTATGGTGGTTTTGTTAATGTATGTGAATGATATGATCGTCATAAAGGATGACAATGAGAGAATTCAATGGCTCACAAACGGGTTCCAGACTGCTTTTTAGTTGAAAAAACTATGTCTACTTTCTTGGTATCGAAATTTGTTTTTGATAGATTGGTATCGAAATTGAAAGGTCAACTGAGGGCATTCTTATTTGGCAAAGCAAATATGTCGATGAACACATGAGCTGACATCTTATATGTTGTTCAAGTGGTTAGTGTCATATACTTAACGAACAAACTACCCAACCTCAAAACATGACAAACATTTAATTTGTAACGATTCGGTAACAAACCTTTTCATTTAAAACAAAACGGTCACAAATTAAATAGCGGTGACCATTTTATACAATTTCAAAGTTTTGTTACCATATTGTTACAAATTAAAGATTTGTGACCGTTTTGTACTAAGTGCAAAGGTTTGTTACCATTTATGCTAATTACCCGTAAGAGTACTCATACAATCATCCAATCAAACAAACATAGCTAGGGTTCCTCAAAACCTAAGTGAAGGGAAGTTACTCCATAGAGAAGAGAGAGACTGCAGTAAGAATCTTCAGATGATCAGTCTTCAAGTCTGGGCTTGTTCCTCGAGCTTCCAAGGCGAAGAAATCCTCCAATTCCACTCCAAGAATGCCCTCAAATTTCCCTCTCTCTCTTTGGTTCGTCCCTAGGGTGTTTGGAATCCAAAACCCAGCTCTCCCTTGCAAAAACGCACAAAACAGGCTTTTAAAAGCCTGCGTTCGTGATCCCCGGTCAAAATCCCCTGTCGGGTATTTTAGGTCACGGCCGTGGATTTTTGGTTCATGACCGGGGATTTTTGGTTCACGACCGGGGATTTTTGCGTCACGATAGGGGCCCCTTCTGTTTCTCAGAGAAGCCCGAAACCAATTTTCCCCTATCTTTGATTCTTCGTTTCTCCCTCGTTCGGACTCCAAATCAGGTGCTATTTGATCCCAGACGTTCGTAGTCTCGTCCTATTTCTTCTCATTACAAGATTACATGATTATATGGTCACAAACTGAGGTAGAAATCCATCTTCTTCCAGTCATACCCGAGTTTCTTCCCCCGAGTCGCCAATTGATCTCCGATTGACTTGAAAGTTGCGCCTACGCTTCACTTTATGTGCTAGGATCTGAAATGTGACAAAGGGACACAACCTAGCGTAAAATAGGCCAAAGAAGTGATAATGCAAGCTTAAACGATCAAGAAACAAAGGGAAAAACATGTGCAAATATAGAGTCATCAATAACATATGTGAAGGTTGGAGAAATCTTTGTTGAGAATCTATGATAAACATCACGTTTCATCAACTACCAAACTAGGCATTTACCAAATAAAGATTGACACATTTTATTAAGATAGTCAATTTGGATAAACATATCTATCGAGCAATCAAGTATCTTTATCCAATAATCTCAACTCTCAAAATTGGTTGACAGTTCGTCCAAACTCGAGAAACACGAATTGATATATGTTGTATAAGATAATAAGTTAACACAAATAATCAAATGAAATCCACCGATATTGTTCAAATGATAAGACATTTTAAATGCATTTAAAATATGTGTGCATTGTAGACACTCTTTATCAATTATTAATATATAGGGCAATGTCTATTTTTTACCCAAACCTTTTTCAGATTCTTTTATTTTAACCAAACCTATTGAATTCCTAAAAATTATCCAAACGTTAACTCTCCGTCAACTTTTCTGTCAGTAATGCTGACTAAGTATGACCATAATGAGTTGACTTCCTACGTGGCGGTCAGAATACCATCATTTACTATTTTTAATAAAAAGATTATAAAAAAACAAAACAAAATCCCACCTCTCACGTGGACGAAATAAGTAACGGTAACAGAATGAATGCCCAGACTTTGATAAATTATAATACGTTTGGATAATAAATAGAATTTCTATAGGTTTGGTTAAAATAAAAGAATCTGAAAAAGGTTTGGGTAAAAAATAGACATTGCCCTAATATATAAGTGATAAAATCTTTGAAAATAACACATTCAACGACCATGTTAAGACCGAAATCCTCGATAGTGTGTGTGAGTGTCTTAGATTGAGACTCTAAGCCAACATATAAACAATGACCACGGTTTTATGTTTAGTCTAAACTTCAAGAATTAACAATTGATACATATTGTTTAATATACTAAATTTGAGTGTCTTAATAAAAAACTAACATTCAATATGGAAATGAGTCGAGATTAGAGTATTTAATCATCATGAGGTCTATGGTGTGTGTCAAGTTTCAATATGGGTGAATAAATTGATCCAATAATGAAGTATATTTACTACGAATTTCTCACTAAAAAGTCATAATTCTTACAGCATTGGTCGAGAGTTCGTCCAAACTCGAGGATCATGAAAGTGTATTGGATTTCTAAAGGACCTTAAATCCCATTCCCTTTCAGGGACTAAATACCTCTTATCACAACCATAGGTGCCAAAGAAGAATGAAAAGAAGCCCAAAAAAAGCAAAAAAGAACATAACCTTAGATAAGATGAACAGAATAAAACCATATCGAACTATGATCCTGCCATCCCTGCCCTTTTATTCTTCATAATGGGGGCTATGGGAGAGGATAAAAAATAAATAGTAGGATCTTAGGATTTTCCTCTTTATATATTACATATCGAACCATAGACAACCTCAATGGTTGTCTGACGTTATGAGGGTAAAAGCGGGATCTCTATCCAGGGGTGGGGGATAAGCAAGTAGCACTTTTAATATGAGTATTAGGCGAGATAAGATAGGTCTAACGAAGTATCTAGATAATTTTGAGTATACTATATATACACACACACACTCACACATATATATAATATCAATGTATACTATACTTTTGATTTTAATACCTTGAATATGAAAATACTATCTAGACCTCGAATTAGCAGGATTTGGGCATGATACTATACCTTTACCTTTAATGAGTGGACCCTAGGTCCTAATTATCTAAATCATAAACTATAAATCCTAAGATGGTGCATTGATTTTTTTATCTATATTTGGACGAATCATAACCGTCGATTATTGTTTCTAATTAATTGATCTTGGGGTATAAGATTTAGAGAATTAAGATCTAGATTTTGATCTTTAAGGGTTAGAGTATAGTATCATGTCCGAAGGATCAGTCAATTCAAGTTCTGGATAGCGTTTTCTTACTCAAGGTATGTGGTACCTCGGATTTCACCTTGGGTGCCGTAGAACTCCCCATATATATATATGGTTCAATCTAGCGTACGGTAGGCGTACATTGTACGCCCGTCGAGTTTTACTATTTAGAGCATGAATTAAACGGAGAATGGGGCATGATACTATGTCCTAACCTCTAATGGGTGAACCCCAGTCCCTAATTCTCTAACCCAAGACACAAGATTCATTTAATCTATAAAAAAAACTAACGGTTCTGATTCAGCGAAATATATTGAAGTGCAAAAACCAAGTGTGAACACAGGCGTATAGCGTACGCCCGACGTACGCTAGCCTTTGCCATATATAAATATGTGTGTGTGGTCAGGTTGACATACGTTAAATATTAGTGTTTTGGTTGACAAATTTTGACATAAGTTCTAAATGGGACATGATAGCGGCATAATTTATGATTAGAAAACCGAAGCATCACAAATGAGTGTGCTAAATATTGGAAAATTTCAATATAGACATACTACAAACTCTGTTATGAATCAAGAACACAAAATATTTAGAAGATCTAAAATGATTTAAACATATAAATAAGTTAATTAACATAAATTATAAAATAAATATCTCCGGCCAACGGCCCGGGTAAAAAGCTAGTCTTTGATAGATAGTCGATGAAACTAATGAATGAGTAACCACTTTGTGCACTATTAAGTTCTAAGAACTCAATATTTTAGTTTTAATTTTATATTCGTGATTCTTTAATGTCTCTTTAATATTATGTCCATCCTTCTCGATTTTGAAATCTTCAACGACTTAACCGAAATTATCAATTCAGAGATTTGATAGAACTCTCTATTAAACTAATTATCAATATTTTTACAGAAGCAGAAGTGGTCTACCTGATTAGCCATATAGTCAACCTGCACGATTTTATTGTTGACCTAATTAAGTAAGAGTAATCGATCTAATTGACAATGTGGTGAACCACAAACCTTCACTCAACTCCCAATCATCGTACACGTATATTTTTAATTAATTTCTTTATGCCCATTAGCTGAATTCATTTATTATTTTTATTTGACTTCAATAAGACGACGTAGTTTGCCGATTTTTGGACGACGGCTTTCGTTTTAGTTTTTACCATTTCTCAACAAAAAAACAAGCTCTTAAGATTTTCTTCCTTTTCACAAAAGAAAAAGTACCAAAAGGGAAAGAAGGGCCATCGAGGAAGAAGAGGCCAACAGGGAAGGAGGAAAGGAAGGAGAAAGGAGAAAGGCTGGGCTGGCCGGCAGCGGTAATCGGAGGGGGCGGCGTCATGGTTCTGAACAGCAATCTGGTGGTGACGGTGGCTGACGTGTCGGCGAATCTCTGCCAATACATCGCCTGCAACCCGGAACGCCTCCCCAGCGACCAAGTCCTCCACCTCATCTTCTGCGTACCGATGCAGCAATTCGGCCGCCTCGCGCTCTCCCTCTGGACCTATCTCTGCTACAACCCTAATCCGGCCAATTACGTCTCCGATCTCGAATCCGACTCCGATTGAATCCATTTCCCGATCGGCCGAATCTGGTCCGCCGGCGATCGAATCCCTTCTTGTTGTTTTGTATATGTATCATACCGGGGACGATGATAGAAGGCCGTTCCCTCGCCGTCGCCATTTCCAATTCCTGCATAAACCCTAATAAAGTCGCCAACTTTACTCCTTTACCGGGTCTTCACCTTCGGGCATCAATGGCGACTCGTTACAGAGCTCTTTCAAAATCAACGGTGTCTCTCTTCAAACACGCGGTCAACAAGCCCGCCGGCGTCAAACCCACGCCCACCTCGGCCGCTTCTCTTTTCCCAGCTCGCCTATCTTCCACATTCTCAAGGCCAATTGCTCAGCTGGGTGCTCTTCAATCGCTTCACTCCGCCGTGTCGGCATCGATTCCACCAGCTCGCGGTCGCTGTCTCAGGGTATGCTCTGCAGTGCGAACCCAGGAGTTTGATAAATCTCTCCCAAATCATTTGTTTGTTGGTTATCTGTAAGCAACTTTTTACTCTTGAATTCTATTCCATGTATCGTTTACTTCGTTCTAGTTTTTGACAGCAGTTCAATTGAATCTCTGTGCTTCCAATTTTTCCTCTCCTACTAACTTAGTGCTGGATAGGAAATGCCACGAACCAGAACAATTGACTAGTGAATTGCAGTCAGTCATTAAGTGAGAAGCGAATGATACATGTGATTTTCCAGGAGAGGCATTGCAATGAGTGTCGTATTGGTCGAGAACTCATTAGAGTACGAGTTGCTTTAGTTTAGTAGAGAGCCAACGGGAACCGATTGATGATACTGATTTGGATGCCTCCTTATTCAGGTTTAAATTATCTTAATTTAGAGCAGAAAGATGAATGTGCTCCACTATCTCCTTGAACCACAAAACAGATAGGGGTCATCGACTACCGGACAGTTTCCCCCCTCCAATTGTGCATATGAGAGTGCATGCATAGAGACAGCCAAACAACTTATCTTTATGTAGAAATCGAGGTGGTTATGTTAGGCATTTGCAAACTCAGGTTGACAATGTCTTGCTTATTCTGTAATACTTCCTTCAACGAACATACTGTGTTCTTTTTGGCAAGACATAACTAGGTACTTCATTACCTGTATGCCGTATGATTTATCGGTTCTCGAATTGTATCCACTTTTCAGGTTCAGTAATTTGATCTTCAGCTGGATATGAGGCCATTGTAAATTGTAATGTTGTTGGCCTAACAGTCTAGCTTTGAATTCTTTTCATTTTCGAAGTTGATGATGATGGAATTCTCAGATTTTTCTTTAATCCAACATCATATAGAGTTATCAACAAACACAACTGAAAAAAGAATGGCAAACACAACTTCACAAATCACAAAATTTGTCAGCAAGACAAAGGACAGAGAACTGGGCTCCCTCTTTTTTCCAAGTTTCTTAATTGATTTTTTCTTATGATTGAATTCTGATTGACATATGGGTCCTGGCGAAATCGATAGAGGAATCGACGAGGGACTTCCGATGAGAGCGATCCGCTGCGCCGACAGCAGCGTCGAGATGGATGGGTCCTTTAGCTTGACCATCGCCGTGAAGTTGTACACGAATTGCGCCTCCTTCGACAGGATGAATAGCTCGTAGGAGGAGGAACTGATGGCGACGGAGCGGCTGACAAAGTGAGTGAAGCGAGAATAGTCGATTTCGGAAACATGGGAGTCAGCGCTCCTGTCGGCGGCCCAGTAGTTGATTATGAGCCAGGCTCCCGCCGTCGAGCACGACTGGAATTCGCGAGCTAGCAATATGAAGAAGAACAGTGGGAAGATGACCATCGCCGCCTTGTACAAGCTCGTTTCTCTGATTCAATGCCAGAAGAAGTTCCATCGCAAGAAGAGGTGTCGCATCACTCCGAAGATCTGTCAGGCATATTCTCCGGCTCCACCACCACCAGCGGCAATTGCCATTGCTCCAAGAGACGGCGGAGGAATCTCCGGCGACTGGCTTTGTCCGGCCGATCCTGCATTCAATGCCCCTCCGGTGAAAATTAAAACTCCATTTATTGGAGGTATTCGTCTGTTTCGGACTGACTTTACGACATGAGTCATTAAGCTTCATTATAGGCTTTTAAATCATCATTTATTTGATTTTATTAGGGAAATAATTCCCTATTCATATGGGTCAGCTCAATAATTCTCTATTCATATCGGCGCTCTAACGGGGATTGAGCTTTGCTCAAAAATGACAGGTTTCGTTAAAGGCAATTATAGGCCTTCAATGTGTCCTTTATTGGCAGTTAATGGGGTTGGCTAACCAAGGAGACGCACGCAAGTGTGATCTTTTACTTTAAAATTTAAATGGGCTTTTGATGTGCGGTGAATTTTTGGTCTTCCGAATTGATTTAACGGAGAATATCTTAATTACATGCTTCTAACCTAAGTTTTGAAGAGAGCATTGAACACTTTCTTCATATGCCCCCAAGCCACCAAGTTGTGGACTTAGTGGGATTGAGCAACTTCAATGATTCCGCCCTGACAGTTAATTTTAGTCTATGGTGGCGACATCTTATGATCTCTGAGATCTCCCCATTTCACATTCTCCAATACGTCTGTTTACTTTGGAGAATCTGGAAGTCTATATATAAAGTGACTTTTGAATTCTACCAACCTCATGTTCGTTCCTCGCCAAACAATTCTACAACCAGGTCCTAGAAGTCTCCAATTTTCACCCTCTCCTTCGCCCCCAGATTGCTCCTCCCAAATCCCCCGACCTCTTGCGAGCCTCCACCAGAAGACTTGTTGAAGATCAATTTCGATACAACTATTCGTGACTCATAGTGCTCGTCTGATCTTGTTATCCGCGGGTCAGACGAGCATGTGGTGCTGCCAGCCAGTATGCGTCACTAGGGAGTAGTCAACCTCTACCCGGCAGAGCTCCTAGCAATTCGGTAAGGTGTCCTAGAAGATTCCGTTGGAGGACCGGTGCTCCTGGAGGGTCGTCAGATCCTAAACTCTTTATCAGTTTGTATATAGTTTAGGGAGGTTCCTAGAGCACCAACAGTGCTTCCCATAGAGTGGACTGGGGTCTAAAGCACTGCTATTATCTCTCATAGAGTTAGAGTCTTTCGACTTTTTTGGGTGGGTTCACTACGGTGTCATTTGTATGGGGTTCCTGGGTAGTTTTATTTGTACAACTCTTTTTCTCTCTTGATATCACTCGGAAATAAAATAAAAACACTTTTTTTTCTTTTCCAGCAATTTTCTTTCTTATTTTGTTTGGTTCCCGTGTTTGGTGCTAAGGGTTATGCTATCCTGGATCCGGATATTATGGTAATGGTGATGTAGAAAACACGGCATGAGTTGTTAGCTCTTTTTGTCTTCTGTTGCAAATCATTGAATTCGATGGTTTCCTCTCAAACTTGTAAATCAGCTGCTAATAGTTTTTAGGTTTAGGTTCAACCCGTATTATATTATACTTTTTTTTTATAACCCAGGAATCTCAACCCCACGTGGCACTTTGTCACAGCAGAGTCTACTAAAGTACTAAACTATTATACAATTTAACTCTTGCATTTGTATATTTACCTACAAAGTTGGGATTGACTGAGAGATGTCTGCCAACATAGTTAACCATTGGATGATTCTGCTGGGGCTACAATAACATTGATGGTGAGCCAGGAGAGACTGGGGAGGTAGGATATGGCGAGGTCTGAATTGATTGACAAGCCTTTGAAGTCTGCTCAGATCATCAGTGGATAACCTTATGTTGGTAAATCCATCTCCTGCTTCATATGCATGTTTTGTTTCTGGTTTAGGTAAAATACCTCCTCCTTCACTTCCCTGTATTTGGCCTGTAAACCAGATGATCCCCCTGACACCTTAAAGGAGTTCTTCCTCTTTAACATATAACAATCAGCCATCACATGATTGTCCTTCTTCGGGTTTCGATCGGGAAGACCGGGTCCTTCGTCGATTTTTGGTTGGGGAGAACTGGTCTGACTCCGTCTTTCAGTCAGTGAGGCTTGGTCCGACGTCGTCTTTTGGTTAGTGAGACTTGGTCCAAAATCCATCGTCGGTCCTTGTCCCGCCGTCCGAAAACCACCTTCTAGCCATGTCCCACTAATCGATTCATTCCGTGTAGGTCATTGTCAATAGTTTGCACGTATCAATAACTACCCCATTCTAAACCAAGTTTAACTTATAATGGCGTTGTCATATAGTGGCAATTAATATCGTATTCACTCGGGTCTTGGTACCCTAGCTTACTTCCCATGTTGTTGTTATTTAGCCGATCAGTTTAAGGGGTTGGTTAGAGGATTCAAGTGAAATAACTGGTAGAGAGAATAAAAAAGGATAAAAGCAGGTACATTGGGGAACTTACCTTTGCCCTAGCCTAGGTCTATCATGCAAATGTCTAAACATGTTGGGTTAAGCGAGTGTGGTGAGTGAGCTCTTTTCCGTGGGCCTTCGTGATTATCCACACGCCTCCGAGTACGCCATAACTAGCCCATTGCACCTCGGTATAGGCTCACATATCTGGGGCTTTAAGAACCTACCCCATTGCCACCGTCCACACCTAGGTTTCATCTCGGGTTCCATATAGGAAGGCGTTCTTGTGGCAGAGGTCTGGTCGCCTCGTCGACCACAAGACCCTACTCATTTATCTAACCCTAATTTGCCAAATGACGCATACCCTTCTAACCCTAAAACTCCATACCCATCGTAGAAGCTCAAGTAGGTTATTAGTGAAGATTAGGACGACTTACCCAAGTACAATGAAAGCTAGATGAAGCATTAAATCAACTAGAAAAACACATTCATTCAAAACCCTAACATATTCATTCATTACATAATAGCTCTAAAACTAGAGTTTGTGGGTTAAACCCCTAGTACATTAAGAGACTACTCCATAAAGGAGGGAAGAAGATACATAGAAGAATTTGGGGAATGCTTGATGTCGAAGAAGATGACTCCTCTCCTCTTCTCCTTCCTTCAGCCTCTCTCTCTTCTCTCTCTCTAAATCAGAATTTCTATATCAAAATAAGCTCTCTTAAAATAGGGGAAGAGGTCCTCTATTTATTGACTTCATTAGGGCGAACAAGTTCACGGTTGAGCAGGGGGAGTTCGCAGTCATGATCTTTCCCTTCGAACCCGCAATCTTCAAGCGTCGCCGTTTTGGTCTTCATTTTCTGGGAGTTCGCGGGCCGACTTCACAGTTGCGATCCGTGAGTCACGACCGCAAACTTCTTCGCGGTCATGGAAGACGGTGAACTTGATTTGATCGTCGAAACTTTCTGTCTCTTGGGTGGCTTCCTCACGAAGTTCATGCCCAAGGGCTCCTTCAAGAACAACAGTGATGACTTCTTCTAGACAACAGTGGCAATGTCAACTTCCTTCAGCAACGGTGACAACGAGCTTTTACCATTGGTACGTGAGCTCGGGAGGAGAGTTTTCCAACAGTTTGTCAATACCTACAATGGCGAGCTCCTTCAGCTCCTGCGACGTCAAGGCATGGGATAGGTGGTCGCCGACAACAACGAGTTATGTGGGAGGGGAGTAAGCTGTGGGGGAAGAATGAGGATGGGGAATTAATTAGGGATGGCAATGGGGGCAGGTTTGCTTAAACCATCCCCATACCCATCTTCAAATACCCAAACCCATACCCGCCCCATACCCATGCGGGGGAATGTTTTGCAAACTCATCCCCATACCCGTGGGTTTCGGGTACCCATGGGTAATACCCATACCCGTACATCCAACATTATTATACCTAAAACTTACAAGAAAAGTTCTAATTATAACTATAAACGAACATATTATATCATGAAGTCAATAAAACACGGCCATTTTTTTTTAATATGGTTCAAAGATTATGATCCTAAAATATCCAATAATACATAATATAGAGTATAATATTTTTCAAATTATTATGTTCTAACTCTTATACATCTACTAAATAATAATTAACTAACATAATCTTGCTGACAAAGGGGAAAGTGAAAGAGTGAAATGAGAATTGAGAGAAATGAATTAGATTTTGATTAAGGTGGTCACTCAATTGCATTTCTACTATTTATTTTCTCAAGTTATCCTCATCATCATTGATATATTATAATTTGATGCACATATTTTTTTATATATTAAGAAATTATCTTGGTGGGGCAGGTATGGGGCGGAGGAGGCTAAAACCATACCCGCCCCATATCCATCAAATTTTTTACGGGTTTTACCCATACCCACCCCATACTCGATCAAAGTGGGGATTCCTCACGTTGACTGGGTCGGGGGTGGTCGGATACCCGCGACCATGGATTTGATTGCCATCCTAGAATTAATGATGTTAGGGTTAGGTTTCAAATTTAGAGTAGAGTAAAATTGTAGTTTTAAAACATAATAAGCCACAAATAGTAAATACTTGGACGTCAAATGACAAAATCTGAACCATTGGGCTTCATATTCGAATTGGATCTCATCGCAGCCCGATCCGTTACAGACTTCCCGTTCCGCTTCTCATTTCCTCTTGCAGGAAAACTCAATAAAGAAAAAAAAAAACTGCAAACGAACGAAACGAAGCGATTGAAATTTGAAGGCAAAATACACTTGTATAGCCATAACTTTCACGTTTTTGACAAATATAGCCATTTCTATTCGAAAACCACAAATAGCCAATTCCGTCCATCTCTTTAACGGTGTTACTTAACACTCTGACTAGACTGACGGAAATGCTTACCTGGCGATACTTTGTCGGACACGTGGATTATTAAAAAAGGACACAAATTAAATTTTTCCGAGTTCATAAAATGAAAAATAAAAATAAATTTTTTTTATACAAAAAACTTCATCTTCCTCCCTGTACCTCCCCCACCATTGTTGACCGCCGTCAATATCATCTTCATCCCTCCTTTCCCCTACGATTCCCACCAGCGACGCCATCAAACCACCGCCCGCCCGCAGTCGTGAACAACCGCTCTCCGACTCCAAATCCTCCATCCCCACTGCTCCCTCTTGCAGCTGATATTGCTTCCTCGAGATTCGCCCAATCAGTTCATCGATGGAGGATGGGTTCGGTGGTGAGAAACGAAAGGGATTTCTTCAAACCAGGAAGAAGAACCCGATCTGGAACTGCGCCGAAATCGCAGTGATTGCCGCCATGAAATTCAACATCTGCAGGTGAGTGAATCCAACGATCTGGTTTCCAGATCTAGTTTCTGAGCAACTCCATGAGCCCAAGTCCCTCCACGCGTAGTCCCAACTGACCGACAAGGAAAATCCCCAGATTCCCAAATCAAGCCCGACTCTGGCTATTGGCGATCTGTTGGGCACGGTTCGGATTGGAAACGTCGCTGCGTGGAGATGGCGAATTGGGATTTCAGACTGGTCGTCGTTGCTTTGTCCGGGGAGAGTAGGATGAGGATAAGAAGGCGAGCCAGTACGAGGAGCTGAAGGCGGAGAGAACTGCGGCGAAGGAGCTGCAGGGGCTGGCTGTGCGGTAGGATCGGTGAGGCAGATCTGAATCGGAGACATAGGCTCTCCCACCGTGGCGTAGTACTCGATCCTGGTGGCGTCGGCGTCCATCGGAGAAAGAGCGAGAATCGAAGCCGACAGCAGCCCGATGCCCACATCAACTATGCGATTCTTCCGCTTGGGAACATAGTTCAAAGAGGGGTTGCTATTGGCATTTCTGTCGAATTGAGGTTGCGAAGAGGAGAAGCAAGAAAACGAGCAAGTGGGTTTTGAAATGGAGGGAAGGGCTTGAGCGCGGAAGAGGGATTTGGGGCTTGCGATGGCGGCGGAAGCAGAGAGTGCCATTTTTGAGTTTGAGATTTTTGTTGCAGGGAAGGGGATTTGTTCGGAGACGGAGGGGGTCGGGTCGTTGGTTGGGAGCAATGGTCGTTGGTTGGGAATGACGATTGATGCGGCGGTGGTGGATATTGAAGAACAGATGGGGAAGACGAAGGAGAGGAGAGAGGGAGAGGAGACTGGATATTGAAAAGGAAAAAATTAATAAATATTTTTATGTTTTTAAATTAGTTATTAATTGATTAACTAATTTATTTTTGAATTAAAATATGATATGGTGGCAAGTGTGGTTGAGTTGTCGCTGACGTGTGCGATGATTTGGCATCCTAGTCAGCCTAACGTTAATTTAACTAACGGAGTTTCTAACACCGTTAAAGTTTCTAACGAAAATGGCTAGATTTGTCACATGACCATCCAATTTCTTGGCTATTTGTGGTTTTCGAATAGAAATGGCTATATTTGTCAAAAACGTGAAAGTTATGGCTATACAAGTGTATTTTGCCAAATTTGAAAGTATACTTCTTTCAAGATTCTTCAGACTAGCAATAAACCCCAGTCGATAAACAAAGCTTAAACAAGAAGGGTAGAGAAATCAACTTGATTGGTGGGAATTTGGAGCAAGCCGTCACTTTAGGCAGAAAGCAGATGGTTTGCTTTGCGGCAGCTGGAAGCTGCTACGCAATAAGGGCGACAGCGGTTATGGTGTCAACGAAACTCCACGTCAACAGTTCCCACGCATATTCCCAATTTCCCCTCTCGTCTCGGCTACCGTTCCCTTTTCCCTGCTACAGTATATCTCCTTCAACACGCCGAGCTCTCGCCATGGCCGCTACTCCGATTCAGTCGTCCCCGGCTCCTCAGGTCCCTCTCTCTCTCTCTTTTCCAATTTCTTCCCATAAAGTTGCGATTTTGATAGGGTAATGAATTTTGGGTATGAACTTTTCATGGTGATTAGGCTGTATCTGGTACCGAAATCGGGGGTGGGGAAGATGTTATGCAATTGATCAATGCTCACCAGGTAGGGTTTTTTTTTTTAAGTTCCAATTTGTGTGAGTGAATAAATGAATGAATGCAAGGGGGAAAAAGACCGAGGTTAATGAAATCATGGGGGTTTGTCTTATTGTGGAAGCGCAGAAAAATGCTGCTCGGCTTCCCGCCGTGGAGGAAATCCGGACAGTCCTTTATCATGGTCTGCGAGGGATGCTCTCAACGTTCTCTCAGGTTTGCTTTGCTGCTTACTGTATTTTTTTGTCATTTGATTCTATTTCATTTCGAAGACATCGAAACTCATAATGGAATGTTGCTGAGTTGTAGGACATTTATGGCTATCTTCTCCAGGGACTGACTGATCTTTGTTCCTCTGATGTTGCAGAAATACGAGGGTTATCCATCTGGGTCGATTGTTGATTTCGCATCTGATGCAGATGGGTCTATTATATTGGCAGTCAGTTCCCTATCAGTTCCTTCCAAGGTTTGGTTTATTGCTTTGTTAACGGAAACTGAAATTGTTCAGTAATTAGATCATTCCTTTGAATCTTAGATTTTTTGGGTTAGGTAGTCTTGGAATGATTTTTCTGTTGAAGAGAATTGGCAGTTGTTATTTTCCAGACTTCGGTTTTCTGATCGCTAGCTGCATCGATGTACACAGGACCTGTCAGCTAATCCAAAATGCTCCTTGCTCTTTGCTAGAGATCCCGAGGACAGGAGTGATCTTATGATCACTGTGCATGGAGATGCTATCCCTGTATGTTACTTCTATCATCCTTATTCTTAGATGACAATTCGTTGTAAAGTTGTTTTGCACCATGATGCGAAGAGATCTTTTTTATAAATGTTTAGGTATCTAAGCAAGACGAGGCTGCTACTAGAACTGCTTATTTGGCCAAACATCCCAATGCGTTTTGGGTAGCTTCCCTTTTGCCTTCGTAGATTCTTTTGGCTAGTCGTTCAAGACATCATTGTTTGCCCTTATGAGTTGGGACTGAGTCAACACTTTTCGTTTGAAGGTTGACTTTGGGGACTTCCAATTTTTAAGGATTGAGCCAACTGTTGTACGGTATGTGTCTGGAGTAGCATCTGCATTGCTTCGATCTGGAGGTTTGTGGATTATCCAGCATTGTCTTTCTGTGTACTCAGTTTTTCTATTTGGAGGTTTGTTGATATTGGGGTTTCTGAAACATTCATTCTTTTGCATTTGACATTGCCATGTTCGAACAACATCAGAGTTCAGCAAGGAAGAGTTCAAATCTACTAAAGTTGATCCAATATCCCTATTTGCAAAGCCTGTTGCGGTATACACTGCTTTTGTAGTGGATGCTCTTTCTGTTTGGTCCTTGTTTTCTTTGTGTACTTGGATACTATTCCATATATCATCCTCTCAGTTGAACTTGCGTACTATTTCAGTCTCACATGAATAGAGATCATGGTGAGGATACAAAACTGATTGTGAAGCACACGACATCAATTCCGGTAATTTTTTACTTCAACTCATTGCTACTCATTTCTTACTGGTTAGGATCTGCAAATGAAATATTAACTTTTGACTTAAAAAACCAATAATCAATATCAAGTTTCCACTTTCCCCAGCCAGCTCATGTGTCTTTGAAGTCAGCAAATAGGTATTGCATGGGCTTGTGTCCCTGCAACATAGGTGATGATGTCTTAAGTGCTGACCCTTCTGGGTCAGCAACAATTTCTTTCTGATCATAGCAGAGATTTTTATGAAAGAGCCCGATATATGAGCTAATAGCCCCTGTACATTTGCTATAATCTTGTTTCTTATACTCATTTTGCTTCATAAATATGAGATCTTGAAAGCTGTAAACTTTTGTTCAGGTGGATTCTGCTTATATGCTCGATGTGGATAGTCTTGGATTCAATGTCAAGGTATGACACTCATTGTTGGCGAACTTATCTCGACTGCGTTTGAACCAAAAGAGTTGTCTGACACTCAACTATTCTCTCTTTCATTTCACACCTCCCTGCTTCCCTTCCATCCCGCTCCTCCTTTTTCGTTTCATCATAGGATTGACTTATGGGGTTATGCTGTATATGTATAGGCTGTTTATCAGGGGAACACTTACAAGCTACGTATTCCTTTCCCTAGGCGCGCAGAAGAAAGAAAGTGAGCACCTTTACTCTGAATTTCTGGCCACTTGAAGTTAGTCATTCTGTATAAACAATTCAAATGCTTAAATTTCACAAAAAATCGTGAACAACTCTCTTCGATTTGAGGTTGACAGCCATATGAGATGTTCCGTGCAATCAATCCTGTGGCAATTTGAATCCTGTAAATATTCAATCACATTAACCCACTGTTTCCTCGTCTCCAGGGACCTTAAGACTTTAGTTGTTGAAATGCTTGAAGCTGCCAGAGGCCAGACCTAAAAACAAGCTCATGGATGCCCTACCAAGAGAAGAGCAGAAAGGTGAGAACTTGCTCAAGAAATAATGCTAGTCTGTTAAAGAGACACTGATATGGTTTGGTAAATAGTTGAACGATTAGCCTTGAAGACTTTTCGATTGTGAATATGGCCAAACAGAGACCCTCTTGCGTTGTCCACCCTTGTCTTAGTCCAGATCTTTTGAACTCTTTGTAATAAGACAAAGTTATTGTATGTCTGGCACAGCTGGAGATATAAGGATTTACTTGTGATGATACCACAGGGTACATAATACAAAATGGTTTGTGTAATGTAATCCCAAAAATAAAGGGTTTGTTTGGCTCTAGCAGGTAGTAATTAATTTCCATTTGGGAAGCTGATTTTGGAGTTGTGGTCTTTGGTTTTGGAGTGTTATGGTGGGTATAGGGTTAGTACAGAATCTGGAAGGATAGTTTTGGAAGGACTGAATCACTTAAATTGGGAGGGGAAAAGAAGAAGAAAAGACGAGAAGTTGGGGGAAAAGGAGAAAGCTAGTGGCTGTTCTGAATTCTGATGGTGTTCACATGCATTGCCTGTAGATTGGATTGGACCAGAAGTTCTGAGCTCTGTCACGATGTTGAATCTATCTCACTTGCTTTCCTTCAGATTGAGCAGAGATTATGATAATAATAAATAATAACAATTATTGAAATGGAAATGGTTTCCCGCCGATCTGATTAACTGATTAAGTGTTGTTGTACCTGGATTGGAATACAGTTTAGGTCAGTGGATTCTTTCACAAGCCACGAATTATATATTTTCTTGGAAAGACAATGGATGGACACTGGCTACTGGGGTAGTTATCATAAATGGTCACAAACCTATTTACTTTGTACAAAACGGTCACAATTCTTTAATTTTGCACGTTTCGGTAATAAAGGTTTGAGTGAATAACAAAATAGTAAATCCTTCCAATTCCGTTCCAAATTCCGTTCTAGATTGCCCCGTCAGCATGACATGTCAGTGCAAATATTAATTAAAAAATGGTCAATCAACCCATTTAACCCGACAATCCAACCGGCCGGAACAAACCCTTTACCCATCAACCCACTCAACTGCGGGCCTATTCAGCCACGGAAGATCGCGATTCATCTTCTCTGCGATTCTCCGCAACACCGCCGACCGGCAATTCTTAGCTCTCCCCCTTAGCTCTCTCCTCCTAGGAATGCGTGTCGTGCTCCAATTGGAGAAGTCAAGTCGGAGTTTCAGGCTCAGCTACGCAAAGTGATGGCGGCAGAATCAAGTCTCCGGCAACTGGGACTCACCTGTCGGACAACACCGCAGCCATAGACGGTTCCCTCTACCGTGCTTCCTCCATTTCTTCCACCACCGCCGTCATAGAAGCATGCGCATGGGCCCTGCGGTTAGCGGATGAAAAGGTTGCGGTCCTTGCGGAGGAGACCAAGGAACTCGAGTGGAGGAAGGAGGAACTCGAGAAGTAGGTCGAGGCGTTCGAGTTGCAGACGAAGAAGGAGATTGCGGAGCAGAAGAAGTTGGCCGAGTCGCTGGAAGCGGAGAAGGCCGCGGTGAAGGCGGAGAAGGCGTCGGTGGAGTCGAAATTGAAGGAGCTAGGGGAAAGAGAAGAGGACTTCGAGTCGCTGGGGAGTTACATTGAGGAAAGAGCAATTGGAGTTCGGAAGGTTGAAGAAGAATTGGCAGGGAAGAGGAAAGAACTCGAGGTTCAAGAGAAGGAGATTGAACGGAAGAGGGAAGAGCTCGAGGAACGCTTGTACCGGTTCCAGAATCGGGCGAAGGGATTGGAGGTGCGCCGAATAGTCCCAGGTGGGGGCGATTCATCTTCCGTCGCCGAATAGTCCCGCAGTTGAACATAAAACACCATATCTCCCGCAGTTCAGCCGGGGAACGAATCAGTTGGAGGAGTGTCGACGAGGAGGAGGATGGTGGACCAATCGGTTGGAGGAGGTCAAGTCGCCGACGGCAGAAGAATCGCCAGTCTCCTCTCCTCACGATTTCGTTCTGGCCTTTGGGGGTAATAGTCCAATTGGGGACCGGATGGGTAAAGGGTTTGTTCCAGCCGGTTGGATTGCCGGGTTAAGTGGGTTGATTAACCATTTTTTAATGAATATTTGCACTGATGTGTCATGCTGACGGGGCAATCTAGAACGGAATTTGAAACGGAATTGGACGGATTTACTATTTTGTTATTCACTCAAACCTTTATTACCGAAACGTGCAAAATTAAAGAATTGTGACCGTTTTGTACAAAGTGAATAGGTTTGTGACCATTTATGATAACTACCCCTGACTACTGAGTAGATCATTAGGGTTAATCCATTTAGTGAGTCAGCAGATATGGATGATCTGGTTGTCACGTGGACTTTATATCAATGCTGTCATCTCTTGAACTAGTAGCTCATTAGCGGGAAACACAACTGCCATTGGTGAAAATCGTTAACAGAACGTTTGGTACCAAATGAATCGAGAATTCATTTCATTGTAAAATGAACTGCCGTGTAGAATTCATTATCAAATGAAATCCTATGTTTGGTATGTTATATTCAAATTTTTAGAAATAAAATGAAGTGTCGTGTAGAATTTCATTGTCAAATGAATTTCTGTGTTTGGTATGTCATTTGTATAAGTAATTTAGTTAATAAAAAAGGAGAACCATGTCATTCTATTATAATTAGTAAATACTGGTGGAATTCATTTGGAAATTCCATCTCAATTCCTCGAAATTGCTATAACTAGTTCCAATTCCGTAGAATTCAAAATTTAGAATTGAAAATAATTCATTTTAATACCAAACATGAAAATATTTCATTTCAAAATGAATTCATCCAGACTTATGGAATTCATTTATACCAAACGGTATGTAAGAGTCAAAATTGTTGCACCCTCTTAATCCACTCACCGAAAGTCCGAAACAACACTTTTTATTCATCAATCGCCGGGTTGGGCAAGAACCATCCATCCACCGAAAGTCCGAAACAACAGTTTTTATTCATCAATTGCCGGGTTGGGCAAGAACTGGGACCAGGACGGTTGGGTTGATGATAAGGAGGGAAGAGGTTCAGTGTTCCGAGGAGAGGCTTCAGACCAACTACGAGTAAAGATGCAAATGAGTCGAACTATTCACAAGCTGCTCGATGTTTGGATCAGGAAAAGGGTTGATGATAAGGAGGGAAGAGGTTCAGTGTTCCGAGGAGAGGCTTCAGACCAACTACGAGTAAAGATGCAAATGAGTCGAACTATTCACAAGCTGCTCGATGTTTGGATTAGGAAAAAATTCATTAGACACTCGTCTCATTTAGAAAGATACAAACGAGGGATTCTTGGGAAGGATAAAGAGACGATGCATGGCCAGAAAAGCAAGAGAGGGAGAGAGAGCTCTTGAGAAAAACTGACTTCATTCATCTCAAAATTCTTCAACTGAAATTACAGATCCCTCTTGGCTCCTTTTTTTTCTCCTTTTGAGATTCTGTACAGCAGAAGCAAGAAGAAGAAGAAGCAGCAGAAGAGGAAGAAAAGAAAGAATTGAAGGCAGAAACAAGAGTGAGAGAGGACTTGGCTTTACACATATGACATAACCTTTCTCTCCCTCTCTATCACCAAACTCCAACCCACCACTCCATCCTCTTTCCTTTTCTTTTCAAGGGACAACCCTTTCCCAAATTCCCCCAAAATGAAAAGACAAGTTTAAACAATTAACAAAAAATCTCCTCCCACCACCACTACCACCCCAAAAAATAATCCAGAGATATATAGCCATCGCCTCTGCCTCTGCCTCTGCCTCTGCCTCATCATTCTGAATCACTCTCCATACTTCCCATTGCTTTCAACCCTGTTGGTCTCTGTTTCCACACAAAACAAACCAAAATTGATAAATCAGCTTCATCATTTTTTCCCCACCTTATAATTGCAGTGGTGAAAGTGAGAATAAAACAGGGGAAGAGAGGGAGGAGAAATTGAAATTAGTCAAAATTTTGGTTACCTTCTTGGAACTCTTCTTCTCCCTAACTTCATACCTCTCCTGGCACATATCAGTCAACCACGCTCCTGGGCAAACTGCCTGCCTCACCCACCAATAAACCCAGAAATCAGTCAAAAGACCAAAATACCCCCCTCCCAACCACCAGATCCATCCATTCCCACCCCCAAGTAACAAGAATGGTGAAGAGGAGAGAGAGAGAGAGAGAGAGAGAGAGAGAGAGAGAGAGAGAGACTTACGAGAACGGTTCTTTGGATGATTTTGGACCTCTTTTTGGGTCTCTGAGGCAACTTGCAACCTTTCATCGCCATAAAGTCTTCTTCTTTCTCTTTACTTGACAAGCTTATATACAGCTTCGGCCAAACCACTCTTTCTCTCTCTTCTATTACCTCCGCAGAACAGGCTTTCTCCGCTCCTCCACCTACCCCCAATCCTGCCGCCGAAGATCCTCTCGTGCTGTAATATCTGTCCTCCTTCTCCGGCGACGACGCTAATTTCCTCTTCTCATTCACCCCCGCCGATCGACCCCCCGCCGCATCTGAATTCCTGTACCACATTACGACTTGACTCATCAGCCAAACAGGGAAGATAGAAAAACCCAGATCGCCAAATATCCAAACAAGCGACCAAGCTCTGCAAAGGAGCAACCTTTGCCGCCGGCAAGGGAGTAGAAGAAAGATCTGCCTTCTTTTCTTCCGGAAATCAGACTTACCTTGTAATGCGATTGGAAAGGAGATGGTGGGAGATTTCTTTTTCTGGCGAGGAGACGACGAATCTATCAATCCGGGAAGTGATTCTCCGGTTGAATCCGCCGTTGGATCTCTGGGAGATGAGCTGAGGGCCTCTGACTCTCACGCATCTCAGCCGCTTTTTGGTCCCCCACTGCAGCAGTAAATCTGGTTCGAATCCTTTAAAACCTCTCTGTTGGCTCTTCTCTTCCTTCTTCTCCATTCGTATCTGGTTATTTCAAAGGAAAAGCCCCAAAAGAGAGTAAAAAACAAGGAAGAGTGTTAGGAGTATCTGAAGCAGTGGGTATGAAAATTGGACAAAGGTTGAGACAACCCAGGTCGAGAATTGAGGTTTTTCTGTTTCTGGTACATCGGAATCCAGCTGTCCGGCTGAAATGAGAATCCGAGGGATTTTGTTTTAAGGAGGGATGGGGGTTGAAATTGAGTTGAACTACAGACACCCAGAAGAGATCAGAGAAATTTGGACATTTTTGGGCTGTGCAAGAGCTGAGGTTTTGACTGGGTGTGGAAATCTGAAGAGGATTTGGTCGTGGAGCTCAAGATCTGTGGAAATGTTTTTGGTCTGAAGGAAGAGCAGGCTTCCGATCAAAAAAGGATCGGCCGAGAAGAACGAGGTTTCACAAACAGGAAGAAGGGGAAGGAAGAAGATGAAGAGAAAGGGAGAAAGCAAACTCACCATTTACCAAATCCGAGAAAAGGAAGAGCGCAGCCGAAATCTTATGAAGAAACCGGAATTTCTCTCCCTCCGCAGAAGAGAAATCCCAGAGCGGTTTCGTTGAATGAAAACCGGTAGTTTCTTGAGAAGCTTGAATCGAAATCCCTCTGGCCCTCCCTTCTATGGCAGACCACTTCTTCTTCTCCTCCTGGATTCTGAAGGCTTAATAAGGTTTGAGAAATTTGTTGTTTTTCTGTGTGTCTGTCTCTCCCTATTACCCTTTCTCTCTCTAAGTTTGAGAAATGTTGGTTGAGAGAGAGTCACAGTGGCTTCTCTTCTCCCTTTCCTCTATCTCCTTCCCTTTCTGCCTCTGCAATGTATTTATCTGCCGCTCCTCCCTCTCTCGTGTGTAATAAAATAACTGAAGTTTTTTTTGGCCGTTTGATCGGACATCGACGGTGGAGATGATGCTAGACCAACTGGCAGCCATTAATACAAGCCCAATGAACAATATCAGTAACCTTCGTAAATTAAAATTAGCCGATTGGGCTCAGAACTCCTTTGTTTGGGCCTACGATGGCTTTAGGACTTAGGCTTTTAGCTACAGAGACGATCCATGGACGCAGCCCTGACTGAACGAATTTTCTTTTTTACCTTTTTTAGTAAATTCAAGGAAAATTGTTGACTATATAGATCAGTTCCGTAATTCCGTTTATGCGATAATTTGGATACCAGTTTATTAATGGTTTTTTTTTGGATATAAGGATTTTATTTGAAATTTGGAATTTGAAATTCTAAATTGGATAAATTGTAAGTTTGGTTACTCGGATTACCAAAAAAATTCACGTTTGTCACTAAAATTATTTTATTCCATCATGGTCACTTAAATTAATTTCGGAGTTCAAGTTTAATCACTGATCGTTAGTCTCTATCATACTCTGTTAGCAATGTCAGTTAATTGTTGACTGAGCTAACAAAAACATCTAATCAACTTAATTTTATCCAAAAAAGTAAAAATTTGACCCGCCACATAAACTCACTCCATTACCCAACCAAACCCATGACCAGCCCCATTTTCTTGACCCTTCCTCTCCCCAACTTCCCCTTCACTGTCTTTCTTCCTCGCGAGTTAGGCCCTGCTTCATCGAAGAAAAATAGAGCTCAAATGCTTCCAAATAAACAGTGGTGTTCGTCAGCAGCCTCCATCCATAGATACCACGTCCTCTGGGTGGGAACTCACCTTAAGTAAAAACCAACATATAATTGGAGCATGTGAAGAGGCGCAAAATGTAATAGCATCTTGTTACGTGTATTTTGCTTCCTAGCATTAGTAGTACTATCTTTGTTAGAGTAGGAATGAGAATTGGGTTAGTACGTGGGTTATTTGTGAAGAAGGGTTAGGATTCTTTGAGTAGCGGCCAAGTAATAATAGGCGAGTAGGCTTAGGATTAGTTTAGGGTTTAAGGTATATAAGACCATCTACAATGCAAGGGTTAAGTGCCAAATTTTGGCACTTTGGAGCTGCAATGACAAGTGCTAAAAAGCGATAGTGTAGAATTTTGAGAATACGGGGCCAAATTTGGCTCACAAAAAGACAAGGAGTGCTAAAAGGAAAAAACACAGTCTCAACTCTCAAGAGAGGGGAATTGTGTGACAATAGCTAAAAAGAAAGGAGGAGGGGTGTGTGTCAGTGTCACCTTCACTAGCACGTCCCCCACTTTTTTTATTTTTATTTTAACAACCAAATTGCAGATTGACTCCTGAAAAATATCTCCATCAGTCCCCAATTTTGCTTCCAACGGCTCTTTTCTCCCCAACAAATATTTTTTTCCCCAACAACTATATTTTTTTAAATATTCTCTATAAATACCTCCACATACTTCACTTCTAATTACACCACAACTTCATTTTACTCTCCCTCTCATCAAATATCAATCTCTCACTACATTTCTCTTACTCTCTACATTTCTCTTCCTCTCAAAATTCTCATCATGGCTACTCGTCAACCCAATTGGACCACAGACGAAGATAAGAAATTAGCCAAAATTTGGATTCAAATTTCGGAGGATGGTGCGGTCGGTCATTATGTACCCTAATCGGTGTTTATTGCTCGAATTATAGAAGCATTCAACAATGAAGGCACGAGAATTTATCATTCCGATAGTGGGGTGTTAACAAGATGGAAGAAGATTAATGATTCGGGTCCAATTGTACAAAATTTCCCCCTCATATCTTGATCGTTTGGCTTTTCATTTCATCGTACCTCGACATATTTCACGCTAGGTTGTGCTTGTTTTGATACATTTCAGGTCCTAGCACTCGTGGAAGGGTCGAGGACGAGTTTTGGGACGATTGGAGGTCGAAAATCGCAAAAAGACCGAAGAAAAGTCCAAAGTCAGGCGTGACAATTGCACCATGACAGTGAAGCGCAGGCGCCAATGAAGCAGGCGCAGTACACAGCCTGACATTGAAGTTCACGGCCTCTAAGCCCGTGAACTGAAACCACAACCCGTGAACAGCGAGGCGTCCAGCGAGGTTCCAGAGGTTACTAATGACAAGGCAGTTCACGGTCTCTAAGATTAACTGAGTTCACGGACGCGTTAAGATGTTCACGACCGTGAACTGGCCAACGCGGTCGTGAACTAGGCACTTTCGGGCAAATATAAAAACAGCAGCAGAAGGAAGAAGAGGGGAGAGTTGGGTTTTGGAGAAGGAACACTTTCTTCTCTAGGGTTTCAACCCAAAACACCAAAGGGGAGTTCTAGAGAGTGATAGAGTGATCTTGGAGCTTAATTGAAGGCATTGATCAAGCTGGGAAGCAAGGAATCAAGCCTAGAAGAAGAAGAAGATCTAGAGGTTTCTTTGTAATCTCTCCTCTCTCTCTCTCTCTCTCTAGAAACTCACCCTCTTCTCTTGGGTTTAAGAACCCTAGGTCTAGATTTGGGTTTAATGTTGATGTATGTGAAAAACTCCATGATTGATTGGTGATTTTACTTAATTGATGGATGTTTTCATGAATGGCATGAGTTGGGTTTCCATTTTCATGTATTGAGCTTTTGACCTAGGAGGGAGATAATCCCCTTAGAGCCCCCTTTTGGCGTCTTCGAGTCACTCCTATCGTATATTGTTCGGGTAGTCCCCGAGGGAGTTGATTCGACCGGTCTCCTAGCATTATACGAAACCTTAGGTTGAATAGAGCACTACCCATCCATCAATTCGCTGTTCCGGGTCATTCTCGAGGGTAGGGATGGCAAAAATATCCGTAACCATGGATATCCGCCCGAATCCAGCCTCCCGAACCCGAAGGACATTTAGTGGGTATGGGTAAAACCCGAACCCGAATATTGCGGGTAATGGGTGGGCATGGGTTTCTAACTATCCAACCTGAACTCGCCCGATTATACGCATGCATATGTATTTTGTCTAGAAATAATTATTATTTTTCTCTAACATATTTTATATTTAGCATATAAATATAATATTTTCATAAAATTGTTTTAGTTAATTTTCTTCATTCTAGTGAACTATTGTCGTACTTTTCCTCTTACGTAATGTGAGAATACTTGTGAATGCTAACATATTGGTTGTAGTTATGAAGAGAAATTATTATCCATGGATACCCGAAACCCGAACGGGTATGGGCATGATTTTAATTTTCTACCCGTTTCACATGTGGGTATGGGTGTGGGTAAAACCCGAACTACTTTGGGTAGGGTAACAGATATACACTATCCGTCCCCGGCCCGACCCATTGACATCCCTACTCGAGGGAGTCCATCTCCAAACGGTAGTGTATTTGAGTCGATCGAGCTACGAGGATACCCAACATCGATCCAAAGAACAAACCTAGGACAATTTAACACAAGAGAGCTCTCAACCTTGTAAATAGCTAGGTTAGTGGTTAGTCCAGGTGAGTTAGTTTAGTTTTATTAATTACTATCCTAGGTTGTCTAGATAACGAACCCTAAACCTGAAGTAGGGTAAGCATAGATCCCCGTGGTACGGTAAATTCTTATTGTTTGCTTGCCCTATGCTACACCCGGTCGGCAGTTATACTTGGCCGTCGATCAGGATGTTGTAGTTAGAACGAGTCAATTAGCCGTTATTGTACGGTGTGGAATGGAGTGTTGAAGAGAGCAAATGCATCACCAATGAGCGGATCCAATCAAAGTGACGTGGTAAGTAAAGTTCTTATGTGAAATCTGAATTTTTATGATAAATTTTTTACTTAATCAAGTTAATATTTTTTTACATTTTTTGAACTACTTCTCTAACTTGTTCATGCTCATGCTCTTTTCAGAGCCCAAACCAAAACAGATTTTGAGTTCGCTGATTGTTGGGAAATACTTGGAAAGTGTCCGAAATACATGGAGAAATTCCATATCCCCGTAGGAGACATTCCACCAATGGATGGTTCTTCATCATCCATACCATCCGGAGTTCAAGCAAGTGCTCATCCTTATGTGATTCGTCTTCCCGAAGGTTGAGATAAGCAAAAGAAGAACAAAAGAGGAGGTGCGGATGGAATTCCTACAATGGAGGCTTTCCAAAAGACTATACAGGATATGGCGACAATCAATGCAAGACATGATGCAATTGCTGAGTTGAGGGAGGCACACGAAAATGCGAGGGATGAACGCGAGAAGGCGAAGGAAGCAAGGGAAAAGATTATGCCCGAGGAGAAGATAATGAATATGGACTTATCTCAAATGAGCGCTAAAAATAGAGCATCGTACAAAGGCATAAGGATGACATTATGGCCTCCTACCAAGAGTATCCAACTTCAAGCCTAGAAGATGACTCATATAGCCCCATTCCATGACACTTGAGGGTCTTTGGGTTTATGTATTTTTTATGGTTTAGTTTTTATTTTAAGCATGGTTTATTGTTGAATGTTTATTTTTAAGTACTTTGAATCAATGGTTTGTTGTATGCTTCATTTTAGTGTGTTTTGAAATTATTAATCGAACTACTTTATTTATTAAAGCATTGAACAAGGTACTCAAAAGACAAGAAAATACAATGATCAAAATACTCAAAGGATAAAAACTAAATTGGAAACACAACATAAAGGGACATTAGAGCACATTAATTAAACTTCAAATACAACATATTCCTACTCCCCTCCTCCTTCTTTTGCCCACAGATGCTCAACCAAATCATCTCTCAATGAGTGATGTCCTTGACGATCACGAATTCTGCCATGACTTGCCATGTAAGACATGAGTGTCGACATATCATGATCCGGTGGATCCACTGTGAAATCTGAATTAATATCATATTGACCCATCATAGCCAATGCCTCTTACCCATTGTCCGTTGGTCTTCCACTATCATGTTGTGAAAAATAATACATTCTAGCATAATTTCTCCCATTGTATGCACATCCCACACACGACTTGATCCTC